GGGGGGGGGAGGGGGCGAGGCCCGCGCGGGGGCGGGGATAGGGGCGGGGCCAGCGTGCGCAGGGCTCCCCGAGGCCCCGGCCGGGGGCGGGGCCAGCTTCGAGCTGCTCTGGCCACGCCCACCGGCCCGGCCCGGCCTTGGGGGAGGGAACGAGAGCAGAGGCTCCAGAACTCGGTAAACAAGGGGCGGGCCGGAGGGGGGGGGGCGGGGCCGGGGGGGGGGGGGGGCGGGCGGCGGCTGAGCGGGCGGCCGGAGCGGGCGGAGGCGGCCCAGCGCGCCCCTCCCGGGGGCCCCCCTCCCCGGGCCGCCGCGGCCGGGATCGGGGCCCATGGACGCCCCGTCCATCATCACCCAGGTGACCAACCCCAAGGAGGACGAGAGCAGCCAGAGCCCCTGCAGCGGGCGCGACAAAGGTGAGGGGGCGGCGGGGGGAGGGGCGGTGGGGATTGGCCCTCCGGCTCCGGACAGCTCCCGGCCCCCCCCGCCCCCCGGGCTCGCCCCTGGCACGGCGCCCTTCCGTCTGCGGGGGGGGCCCCGGGCGCCGGAGGGCGCCTGAAACCCCCCCGGTTTCCCCCAGCCCGGCCCCTCTCCGCTCCCGGGCGGAAGCTGGCCAGACGCCTCCTGCCGCCTCTTTGCAGAGGGGCCGGGACGCAGCGGCCATGGGGGGGGGCCCGCACCCCGGCTGGCCGGGCGCCCCTGGGAGAGGCGGGGGAGGAGTCCGGCTCCGTGGAGCCCTGCGGGGCCCCTCTGTGCCCCCATCTCGGCCCGACTGTCTATCGATCTCTAAAGAGGGCAGGCACTTGGCATCGCGTGATACCAGTCTGCCCATCTGCTCCTTTTGAGGAAGAAAAGCCACAAGAGTGGGGCCCTTCGGGGCTCCTCCAGGATCCCCTTTTTAAGAGGGCCAGAGTGGGTCAGGCCCTTTCTGTGACATCTCCTCCGCTCCCTGGGTCACCGACCCTGGGGGAAGCTTCGGGAGCCGTCAGTCAGTGCCCCTGGCAAGTTTCTAAGTTACTGTTAGCCCCGGGAGGAGGAGGAGCTCCCCCTCACCCCACCCCACCCCCAGGCTTTTGTAATGAGCCGCCTGTTCAGGCATATCTCCCCCGCCCCTGGTTGAACCTGCCAGGGGCAGGGGGAGGGGGCTGCCCGAGCTGGGGCCCCTGACAGCGACGCTTTGGAAGAGTGTATTCCTGCAGTCAGGCTGGGGGGGGGGGCCAGGGAAGGAGCACCCCCCCCATCATTTGGTATGGCAGCAGCCCTGGCCCCGTGTGGATATGTGTGGACTGTCTCCTCGGTTTGAATTGTCACCAAAACGCCGTTGCATTTTCCTGGGTGGCCCAGGGGAAGATGAGGCAGAGCCTACCAGGTGTAGGGTGTGTCTGTCTTAAAATGTGCCTAGTGAATGGGTGAGGTGGGGAAGGAGTCGCCTGCCCTCTGCCCTGCTCCTTGTACTGGCTGGTGGTACTTCTGGCTGCAGTGGGTGCCAGGCTGTCCCTGGGCCCATAGGACAGCAGGTTGGGTAAATGAGCCAGGGAGGAAGGCACGTGGAGGCTTAAAGAATGAGTGACATCTGTTGAGGCTGAGTGAGGCAGGCCCACCAGGGCATCTCTGTTGCTCTTGGCACATTGGTCTGGTCTCGCTGGAGGCTGGTGTCTCCCCGAGGCTTCCTCCTCCTATCCCTGCCACACACACACACACACACACACACACACACACACACACACACACAACCAGGCAAGGGAGAAGATTAGGCCAAACTTTGCCAGCCTGGTGCCTGTTCGGCAGGAGCCCAGCATGCCCAGTGACTTTGGGGCCTGGGATAGGGAGCCTCACTCAGCTAGCAGTCTGTCAGAGCGCTGAGCACAGTAACACCCGCCCCCAGGAAACCTTTTCCAGTGGGGACTTCTTGGGCCTCTCACAGCTGCTCCGAGAGCTGGTGGGGAGAGTGGCCGTTGTTGGAAGGCTGACATTTATTTGACGAGGCCCAAAGAGGCCTGTACCCAAGGGGGGGGGGGGGGGGGCAGCCACATGCTCTGCCTGAGTCTTCAGTGTGGGTTTCTGAAGCAGCCTTTGATTATTTCTACCTCTTTAGCGACTCCCCAGGCCTGATGAGGGAAATTCCAAACTTAGGCCTTTCCTGTTCCTGAAGGGGGCTGGAATGACCCATCATCACTAACCACTCAGTGTCTTCAAATCTGCTTGCTCAGTGTTCTAATTAGATTCACTAACAGTCTGGCTTCAGACTTTGAGGAGGGAAATTCATTTCAGGTCTCGTGGATAAGCCCCTCGCTGCTGGCCTGCTGGCTCTAGGAGCAGGCCCTCTGTATGGTTGGGATGGATTGGGTGTTCTGCAGGAAAGTGAAAGCTTAGCAGACAAGATTGGATCACTTCACTTCTGGAGATTGCTTTGGTGATAGTTCCAAGATTTCCCCCCCAGAAGAATATGGGTTTTAGTCTTGCCTTTGTTCCAGAGACTTTCAGAACTGAATTGTGGCTGTGTTGTTATCCTGCAAATTAAAAAAACAAACAAAACTCCCAGCTTTGGAAAAGAAATCTATGTGCCATTTGCTAAGGAGGCATTGAAGTTAGTTTGCGAGCAGCCAGAACAAATTACTTTTAGCTAACTGGTCTTGTTCCAGGCAATTTCCACTGAGGCAGGATAGCAGGGTCTTTTTGCTTTGTTCTTGTTTTTGTTTTTTTGGTGGGCTGCTCCCTTTGGGGGGTGGGTGGTAAATCGGAAGAGACCCAGGTCTGAAATACTTTGGCTGCCATTCCTCCTGAGGACTGAATTTCTTCCTGGGCCCCCTAGCTTGTCAGCCTGGCGTAATGGATGGGAAGAGGCACGCTGTCCTGAGTCCGTGACCTTTCTTTGGATGGGACCAAGCCATTCAAAGGGAGAGTCGAGGAGTTTTGCCTTCCCATCTGGCTCAGGAGCCACTCCAGGCCAGCCAGTTGAAAAGCCCTCCTCTTTGGGCTCCCTTAAACCTCCTTGTACTGCCGAGGGAGCCGCTGGGGAGGGGGGGGTCAGTGCTGATTGGCGGTCCTCCAGATTGGCAAATTGCTCAGGACAGTCAGCACGTGCTTCGAAAAGTGGGGACCTTTTTTTTCTGGCAGGGCTGAGAACTAAAATTAAAGTCTGGGTTTTGCACCAAGAAGACTGACTCTAAAATTCACAAGCACTCTGGATTAAATCTCCATTTCTTTTTTTTAATTATTATTTTTAAACATTTATTTTTAAGATTTTGAGTTCTGACTTCTCTCCCTACTGCTCCTCCCTCACCCATTGAGAAGGCAAAAAATGTTCCCCATATATTTCTTTTATTATTATTATTATTTTTTTTTTTTTTTTAGGCAATTGGGGTTAAGTGACTTTCCCAGGGTCACACAGCTAGTAAGTGTCAGGTGTTTGGTCTGAGGTCAGATTTGAACTCAGGTCCTCCTGATTTCCTCATATATTTCTTACAGTCCATTTGTACAGGCAAATACTTCAGGTATAGAGAGAGGGCGAGGAGGAGCCCATGGCCTAGGATCGTAAGAGGGTAGTATGTACCAGAGGGGTAGGGTGCTCTCAAGGACGACATCCTGCCAAAACAGTGAGTGGTTTTAAAGAGGAAGAGAAGGGGGAGCTGTCCAAACAGGTTAATGTGACTGTGCAGGCAACTCCTTCACCAAACCAGATTTTTGAGAAGATTGTGTAGAAGGTGGAAGGCAATAAAGGAAACTGAGGACGAGGGCAGAAAGGTTGCCTTGGCTTACAAGAATGACGCCAGGAAAGCTGAAACCCAAAAGGAGTCAAGGCTTATGGCCAATGCCAGGGAAAACAAAGATGGTTTTTAAAAAGCTGTCCAGGAGGGCAAGAGAAAGATCCAAAGGGATGGGGCTGGTATCAGGACACAGGGGACTCTGACAAGAAGTCAGAGAATGATCGTTGGGAATAGGAACCCAAGATGAGTGAGGAGATAAGTAGGGGAGCCCCAGGTCCCAAGGGTGAACGAACTTTCCCAAACCAGGAGAGTAGCAGCATCAAGGGAGAGGTGCTGGCGGCATGTCAGGGTATCTTCTTCTACACCTGACCTCTTAGTTTTCACTTTGATTCTGAGCAAGATTGGAGACCATGTGATTAGTGAGATGGTGAGCGGGCACTTGGAGAAGGGAGCAACCATGACGGGGAGCCAGCTGTGGTTCTACCAGAGCAGCTCATGCCAGCTAAGCTCATTTCCTTCTGTGATAGTTAGTTACTACTTCCCTCTGCTATCTCTTTAAGGTTTGTAAAGCACCTTATACACATTGTCTCATTTGATCCCAGCCACCCTGGAGGGGAGGTACTTTTGTTCTCCTGACTGTACAGGTGAGGAAACTGAAGTTAAGTGACTAGTGACTGTGGCAGGATTCAAACTCAGGTCTTCTTGTCTCCAAGTCTATCCACTGAGCCAGCCGGCTGCCTCTCGATGAGGGGAGGGACAGTTATTTCTCCAAGGAACCTGAGAAAGGCTGTCATGTCATGATGTGGACAATCGAGAGGGTTGTGCACTGGCTCATGGTGTAATTATAGATGAGGTTCACGTTTTGTTTAATAGCCAGACCAAAAGCGATGATGACTGGAGCAGTGGCGTGTTCCTCATTTTTGCCATCCTTGGCCCACAGTATTTAACGGTTGCATCAATGCCTTTTAAAACTTGCAGAAATGGAGCAGGAGAGGGAAGGTTAACATGTTAGATTACAAGATTGGAATCCCCGAAGCTGACAACTGACTTAAGCCTTGGGCTGAGTCTAGTTAGATAAAAATGTAACAGAATAAATGCAAAGTTCTGCACTTTGGGTTACAGAAAGCAATTGCCTTGAGAAAGGATGTGGAAGAGGTGATGAGATAAGGACGTATTCCTAAGGGGTTTTAGTCTGTCTCCTGCTAGTTAAACATGCAGAGAGGATGAGCTGGCCACAACAACTAATCAGCACATCCATGGTGGAGAAGAGGCGTCTCAGAGTCACGTGGGCAGCAGGCCTGGGCTCTGCTCTTGGGGGCAGCCGTAGGGGGAGTGTGTGTTCACTTCTGGCACCCTATTTTAGGAAGGCCACTGGCCAGACTGACCTTGTCAAGAGGAAGGCAGCTTGGAACCACAGCCCAGAAGGATTGCATTCAATTCCTGTGCATTTAGTAAATGCTTTCTCCCTATTAGATTCTCTCCAATTTATCCTCTTTGTAGCTTTTTGTACACAGCTATCTGCGTGTGTCTCCCCCACTAGACTGGGAGCTCCTTGAGGGCAGCGACCTTGTTTTGGGCTTTCTTTGTATCATTGATGTTCATTGACTGCCTGACTGCTCCCTCAATGCCAGAGGTCCCTGGGGATACAGAGGGAAGGTCTGGGGCTGTGGAGAACAGGTTGGCACGCATGCCCATGGCACGAAGTGCGT